AATTTCAGTGCCATTTTTAATTCAAATCCCAGCGACACAGGTTTACTTCCATAGGAAACTGCTCTGCGCTCCACCATATTTCTTCTGCTCTGCTCCGTTCACATGCTCTGGCGTAGACTGAGCCATAGGCAGGGAGTAGATTTCTTTACTTCTAATAGAGAATAATAATAGTTATAGCAGGATGATGTTTAGAAGCTCCAAATATTTTTTTCTACATATCTACCACTGGAAAAAATCTAAATCTAGATAAGTCATTCTTTTCTTCAAATAAGTGCATTTGTTTTTGAATTGAGGAGGTAAAAGAGACATTTTGCCAATGGAACGAGAGAATTGACATTTCAAAATAAGAAAAAACAATTATATTGTCTTATTTCAAGTACATATTATCTAATTATCTTATCTTAAAAGTAGAACTACTCATTCCAGTGGCTCATTAACCTACTGAAACTAAGGGTAAATACACTTCATCTAAGAAATGTTTACATATTTCCAGATAGATTTTTTTTTCAGTGCATTAAATCAGGTTGTTGGCAGCTAGTGAGGAAGAGCAGACCTTGGGAACTTTGCTGGTTTTGGTGACGCTGGACGGAGGAACAGGAGCTTCGGGACTCTGAGGTATTTCTTCATCAGGAGCAACATCTGGATTCAAAGCAAAGATGCTCTCCAGGTCGATCTGAGGGGGGAAAATAAAACACCCATGAGTCTAAGTAAAACTAGAAAGGTACAAAAACATCCATGGGAGCGTTTAAAGGCAGTCGAAGAGTGACCGATTGGTGCACAGAGCACCAGAGTCTTTTCTCCTCATTGGTGGATCTGCAGGATAGTCTCACCTTGTGGAAAAGGCTGATGGGATTAGGAGCAGCTCTGCAGGCGACCCAGGGCATAGATGATAAACTGTGGCACATTATCTAAACATTGCGTTCACTTTTGAATATCTTTCTTTTTCCAGACCTAATGCTTCCTTATTTCCAAAGCTGCTCCTTTCGATTTATTTTACTTTTTTAGGCTCATTAAAGGAAATGTCAGCCTAATTTTCTATGTACGATAATTTTCTTGATTTTATCTGGAAAAGAAAAACTTTGCAGAAGCTTCTTCATAAAATAAATATATTTGCCCTTAATTTTTGCAGAAAAATAAGGTGATCTGCAAGTTTGGATAGGATTTATTTCACATCAAAATATTCTGTATCTGCATAATATCAGGGCCTCTTGCTGTACGTGCATTTATTCTGAAATTGAGGAGGTAAGTGAGACACTTTGCCAATGGAACAGGACAAATTACATTTAAAATAAGAAAAAAACAATTGCATTGTCTAATCTCAAGTGCATATTATATAATTATTTTATTTTAAGAGTAATAATACTCATTCCATTGGCAAATTATCTTATTTACCTCCTCAAATTAAGGGTAAATACATTTAATTTTTGCTCATTTTTAGATTGTATTTGCAGTGTGTGACTGGCTGGATGTTCTCTCTTCATCCTCTGACATGGGAGCTGGCTCTGAGCTCGTCTGCCTGGTTGTGTGTTTCCTGGAAGGGCGAGCTGGTTGACAGTTGCCTTTTGCATCTATGCTTCTTTCTGTATCTCTGCATCTGTCTCCTTGAACCCCAGTCAGATGGCCGCTCACACTGAGCCTGGTTCTGCTGGAGGTTTCTTCTTGTTAAAAGGGAGTTTTCCTCTCCACTGTCGCTACAAGCATGCTTAGTGTGAGGGATTGCCTTTGAGTCAATGAGTTGATGCAATCAACTGGTTTTCCTTAGATAGAAAACTTTGAATCAATTTGACTGTATGATGTGGTGAATTGTGCCTTTAGATGACATGTGTTGTGAATTGGCGCTATAGAAATAAACTGAATCTAATTAAATTTCACGTCAGAGGCTTTTGTCATTCCTGCTTTGTGATCATTCAAAGTTATAACAAACACACAGTTTAAGGGGTGGATGGGTAGATATACATTTGCAAGTGAAATTGAGAGGAAATCACCTAGCAGATCTTATAGGACAGTAACTTAACCGCAGAAGAGAGGGTCAGGGGATTGACTTATAGATGAAAATGAATGCAAACCTTCAGAGTCAGATAGTGACGATTAACTGTACCTCCTTCCCTTTAGTGTCCCCGTTCTCGATCCACTCCACCGTCACACTCTCGTTGTCTTCATGCAGGGATGTGACCATAGCCTGGTGTATTCGGCCTGCAGGGAGGATGCAAACAAAGGTGAAACCTGCTCTGACATGCTCTGCTCATTACAGAACCAGTCACCATTTTACCAGAAATGATGATCATCTTTATAGGACAAGTTCCTGTTTTTGATCACTTGCATATCCCTTACAAATGGCGTCCCTCAGTGAGGTCTAGAAGCACAAGATCTATATCCAGCCATTCAGAAAAGATGCTGCTACATGGCTGGACATCTTATTTTGGGATTTTACCAATTAGCTAAGCCCTTAAATGATATATTACCTACTGCACTCAAAAAACTATCTATAAATGATAAAAAAATTCCTTAAATTAAGTGTATTTCCCCTCAATTTGAGCAGGTAAATAAGATTATTTGCAAATAGAATGAGTAGTTTTGCTCTTAAAGTAAGAAAATTAGATAATATGCACTTGAAATAAGACAATGAAATTGTTTTTTATCTTATTTTTAATATAAATTGTCTTGTTCTACTGGCAAAGCGTCTCACTTATCGCCTAAATTCAACTTATTTGAAGGAAAAAAATGATCTATTTAGATTTAGATTTTTTGCAATGTGTAAATTAAGTTGAAAAAGGGTATAAAGCTAATTGAAAAGTTCAAAAGTAAAGTTCAAACGTTAATAAACCAAGTTAACAATTCTATGTTGCCAATTCTAAGTGCCAGTATCAGTATTAATGTCTCTAAGGTTATGTTGTACCAAATAAAACGTGTTTCTTTCACTCTTTCACTCACTTTGTTCTTGATATATTTGGGTAAGTTGGCGTTTCTTGTTATAACATTGACATTAAAATGAAGAACATCCTTATATTTTGCATGTTACCAAGGTAATAAGGTCTCTTCCTGGATTCCAACGGCAGTATTGGGTGGAAATGTTTCACTATAAAGCATTAATAATCACCATAGAGCCAATGGGTGTGGTTAGTGTGACCATTTCTCTGCTTCTCAAACTAATCAGCTGCCCTAAAGTAGGATGACTGGCCTTTATCGATGCATCATAGGGAGGAGAAACAGACCCAGCAGGGAACAGCTGTCCTTCTCCATACATGCACCATGTTGGGGAGGAATAATGAAGTGAAAGGGGAGAGGCCCATGCAGCCATCCTCCAGCCCCCAGATCCAGGCCACTGTCTGCTGCAGAGCAGGGCGCTGCATGCAGCCCTTCCAGCTCCGGATGAGGCTTTCTACCATGATCCGGAGGAAGGAGGGCTGGTTCATCACGGCCACAGCCGGACAGGTGGACGGACCCGCCCGCCTGGCTGCCCGCCTGCTGACCCACGGCCTACCGGCTTCACTGCAGGCGGCGGTACGGAGAGCAGGACTGGAACAGCTGGGTTTCTGCTGCACATCGCGGAGCCTCTCAGCGCTACAACATAAAGACTTATTGGGGATGTGGATGTGACAGCTGGTTAGCTAGCAAAGGAGCCGTTGCTGCCGCACGCGCCACTCCTCCTCCTCTGTGTGTGTGTGTGTGTTTGGGCGCGCGCGTGTCTGTGGGGGGCCAGCCACGTACCGTCGCTTCGCTTTATCTCCACGTAAATGCCCACGAAAATCTTCCCGAAAATCGCCGCCATTGCTCCCCGTCTCGTCTTCGCCTCGTCCTCCGGTCCAGGTTGATCGCCGCTGCAGACGCTGAGGTCACTGGCGGCCGGTTAAAGGAGAGGAGAGGAGAGCGGCTGCTGCGCATGCGCGCATCTTCCGCTTCAGTCCTCAGCATCTTCTGCTGACACTGAGCAATTAGATGCGTTTTCTAACTAAATGTTTTACATGTCGATTCCGCCACTTTGTAATAAAAAAAGAGAGCAATATCTCATAATTATGAATTAACTATCATAATAATTAATTGTGATATAATACTAATAGTATAACAAAATATAATTTGTTGTATTAATGTCATGTTTTCCAATAAGCTTATTTTAGTTTCCTTTGGTTTGTTCCACATGCTAGAAACTGATTATCTAATATATTTAACACAAAGCAATTGTGATGTTAAAAGGTTAAAAAGTATGATTACTTTACCTATATTTACAAGCACTATACTATACATTACAAGCACAACACTACTCTCAGTCCCCCGAATGGCCCCATACTCGCAACAACTGTATCCTAATTGTATCTTATTATACATCGATGGCTAACTTATACTTATGAGGCAGTATCGAAATTTGAACGTTGAACCAATCA